GGGATATATCGTATTGTGACCCCTCTGTCATGATATGTATCGTATCGCCAAATTCTTGCCAATACACAGCCCTACACAGGAAGTGATGTCATTTGATCTGTGGGACCACCCACTTCACAGACCAGCACAAACAGGTAGCCAGGACTAATCGATGATGACACACAGCAACTGCGTTTAATTTAAACGAGTTCATGCTAAATCGATTTGTTTCTGCTGCCTACCATTTCCAACACTCCCACTTCAGCACATCATCACAACAATGCCTTGGAGGGCTGCTCGGTGAGGCGGGAGCTCCACTGTAGACTTGAGCTCCAGGGAGGAGCTTTGTGTAAACAGGCGGAGCTTTGTACCAGTAATCGTTTAGGCAGCTTCACAAGGTTATCACAGGAGATTGAAGGATTTCTCAAAGCAACACTGTTTCTAATGAGGAACGACATTACAACATGAAGCTCTTAAAATGTCKGTTTTGCATATACCCCTCCTTTAACAGCAGGAAGGTGTTTTTCTTCAAAAACTCTGTGAGTCTTGTTTTTGAAATCTGCATATGGGATTAGATAAATTAAAAAAGGTCTTTAGGATGTGTTTATATTTGGAACCAGACTGATGCAACTGTGATCAAAGGAATTAACAAAAGTATAAAAAAAATAATGGTTTTTGCATTCAATCTGTTTTCTAGTTTGCTTATATTATTACCTAGTATGGTTATTTCATGTTGAAGTATTTTTAGCCACATAAAACTTATTTTCAAATAACCCTTTTAATGTTGTTATGTAACGTTAGAAAACTTACATCACTACTAGATCCTTTGAAACTTAAAATATACATTATTTGCCATACTGTCAGACCTTTTGCCTGAAAATGACTTTATTTCACTCAAATTGATTACATGRGAAAGATTTCAGTGTTTTATAAAATAAACTATGAAGATAAAAGGTTTGAGACCCACTGCTTAAAGGAATGTTTTAAATGTAAATATGTAAATAAAGCTCATCATGACTCACATGTAAATTAAACTTGTGATAACATCTTTATGACCTGGCAGTTCTGTTTTTTTAACTATATTTAGTCACTTTTTGCACTGTGCTTACTTCAGTTAATGCAAGATTTGTTGTACTTTGATAAGTTTGTTAGCCAAATGTAGCTCTAATTTGTTTTATAAAAAAGAATGAGGGAACCAGCTGATCTATTATAGCGCCTGTTGTTAATCAGCCACTTCCGCCTTAAACTAATTTAACAAACAAAATGTTGCTTTCWACTTTAAACCCTTTCTGCATTAAAACAAATAAGTCAGAACTGCTTTATGTGTATGGTTTAAGTTGTTTCAAGAGAGGAGAACACTCTAGAAACGCGACACTAAAAACAGCTGACGTCAGGGCTGGCTTGTTGCTGCCTGTTCAAAATGAAAATAAATAAAACACCGACATACCAGAGAGAGAGGCAGACACACGAACACCAAGCTGTCAAATAAAGGTCGTGRACGGATTATATTCCCCGTGGTTCGGCACATCAAATGGACCTAGAAGAGAACGAGTCGAACCCTGTAAACCGGACCGAGCTGAAGTGGAGAATGACAGGGCACCAGCACATCTCCTTTTATGGTCATGGACGCGCTTGGTTTCCGCTGTGTTTATATCAGCGCCGGTGGAAAGCTATAAAAGGCAACAAGCTTGGTACATTTATACAAAAGTATCCACATTCCTAAATCTAAATAAAGTGTTGGGTTTTAATAAATAATATAAAATATAAACTTCAACCAGGAAGTTTCTCTGAGATTAAAAGCCTCTTAGACCTGGCCATGTGCAAAAAGTTACGGAAGAGGATTAGTGCCATTGAAAAATTAAAAAAGGAATTCTGACTTTAATCTCAGAATTCTGACATTAATCTCAGAATTCTGAGATTAAAGTCAGAATTCTGAGATTAAAGAGTAACTTACCCCAAAATTAACTTTTTTTTAGCTGATAAACTGTCTAAAATGTGTCTAAAATGTTATATAGTACTGTTTCTGTGCTAATTTTGATGTTTTTGTGCGTATTTGTTCAAATC